GCTCTGGTGCTGGGGATCGTGCCACTTCAGCATTGCTTGATGCAATTTTGATAAAGCAACGTAATTCATTTCCCTTCTTTCCCCAGGGTCATCAGGTTATTCTTACAATTCATGGGTCTACCTTTGTGGTAATGGGACTTTGTGTGTTCTCTTATATCTGAAGCTTTTTAAATCTCTTACATGTTTTTTGAGCTTTTTCATTTCTTTTTTTTTTTTTGCCCACTGGGTAGGAGCAAGAAATGCAGCACTCTGTTCAACTTTGCTACTACCTACAAACCAGAAAAATAGAAAAATGCTGACCATTCCAGCAGAGGCTTAGTGCAGAATTCAAAGAGATATTGATAAAATATTTAACAGCAAATTGGAATTTATTTGGAGTTGCAACTCTGTACTTCAATCCAGTTTGACCAAGTGCAGCAAGTGGCTGCTCTGTTATGTGGTAATGTCACTAGATCTCAAGGAAACCAATATAAATTTTGATTGGAATATGTTATTTTTAAAGACCAAATAAGGCACTCAACTTTGGTTTTGTAGGTTGCTGTTTGGTGTTCTGCATGTCACGACTGCCATGCTCACGTGCTTCCACTACTGCTCTATGTCTAATGCTGTCTTCAGGTCACGTGTGCTTTGCTCTTTGGCTGTGGCCTGTAAGAGTGAAATTCTGGCCCACTGGAAGCCCTGTGTGAATTTTGCCAGTGATTTTAGTGGAGCCAGGGCTTGTCCTCCATGGTGATGGCTTCCTTTATTCCTTTTTTTTTCCTTTTATTTCTCAAGAAGCGATATGTGAAATGCCCAAGCTTCAATCTGTGTTTATGGTTCTGTTTGCTTTCAAATATTTCCCCTATATTTGTATCTGTAATGTTGGTTGGGGGAGTGAGGTTGCTGGGTGTTTTTGCTTGATCGGATATTTAAAGACTTGTTATGAATTTGTTTTATTTCTTAGTTATATAGTAATATTTAAAGCATTTGACTTTTGCTTGAGGGGAAAAGGAGGACACCTTTTTAGACTGTTCATTCAGTGCATCTTGGTGCTTTTTCAACCTCTGACACCTTGATGCTACAGGAGAATGACAGATGGCTCTTCTGGAATATGTGTAGGCCGGCATAAATGCCTGGGCTGAGGAGAGGAGGCAGTGAGATGTCTGTTTCCTCTGCTGTTCCTCAGCACCCCCTGGGGCAGTTGCACAGGGGATCGATTCCAGTTGCCACTGTGGCTCTTCCAGCCTGATAATGAAGAGAAAACTCTGCATAAGTAGATCAGGCACTGACCTGTGATTTTCCGGGTGCCTTTTTGGTCCAAAATCTCACCTCCCTCAGGTTCCTCTGCTCGTACTGCGAGGAAATGTTTCAACTCTTGCTGTTGCGTGAGTTGGGGCTGAGTAACAAGTTCACTAGCAACAAACAAAAATAAAGACGTAAGATGATGTTTAGGAAAAGATTACACTTAAATTTGTACTTGCCCCTATCTTACCAAATTTTATTTTGTTAGCATAACACGTGCCCCTCAATTGTGTTGTCGTAGGCTAAAAGCAAGCACGATGGCCCCAAATAGCACAGTTCAGGGGGAGCGCTGACAGGCTCTAATGCCTTTGGGAGCAGGAAAGGAGGACAGTGGTCAGGGAAGATGTGGTGTTTTGTGGAGAAGTCGCCCGTGGAAGTCTGTTGCTGTTGGTTCATGTGCTGAGCACAGCGAGGCCGCGGGAAGACCCCAACCAGCAGCCTCTGCTGCTGCCGCCGGAGCTGGCGCTCGCCGCGGGCCCCGAGAGCAGGTCGGGCTTCGTGGCAGCCGCACGCGGTGGCTGGAGGCACCTGCTGAGTTCTGCCCTCCAGTAAAGCAAGGAGGGTCAGATGCAAGCATGCCTTGCACGAGAAGCAAAAATTAGTCTGAAGTTAAGACTCTCCACATTGAAATAAGTCTTGGAGTAACAAACAGAGTTCTAACAGTTTCTGTTTTTTTCTTTGCATTCCTTTTCTATGTCCTGCAGGAGGTCCAGAGAATGCAATGCCTGATGTAAGTACTTTTTACAAGCTGCTTACTAGCTGTATAACCTTGGTAGTTGTAGGAAACCCTCAGCTTTGTATTGCTTTTTACAATTCTGATCAACTAACTCAAATGACTAAACTTTTTTTGGTGTGTAAGAGAATGGGTGCATTTTGCCTCTTTGAAAAAAGTGGAGATTTAGGTGCTTGTCACTCTTAAGCTGTGCTCATTGTAATGACTTTTATACTTTCCATTTTGTAGGAAGATGCATTTTAAAATGTAGAGAGGTAATTATGTGGGGAAAAAGTACCTGATTTCTGTGCTATTTTAGCTCCCAGTCCCGTCTATTAGTGCGCCTACTCGTCGGGTTTGGGATCAAGAAGAAGAACGAAAACGACAGGAAAAATGGCAAAAGGAGCAGGAGCGTTTACTGCAGGTAAAGTTGATCCCCATAATCATGGGTGACATCCTTTGAGGCTAGTAACTGCAAGGGAAGAAAACCCTCCTCAATTCCTGGAACTGTTGTTGTCCCAAGAAGAGTTTCAGATAGTGCTGGGCAGAACAGAAATGCACAGGAGCAACTACCCAGCAAAAAAGGGGGAAAGACACCAGGGAGTTTCATGAAATCAAAATCCAGGCTGCATGTTCACTGTAGGCAGAAATGCTCCACCATTGCAAGGCTGGTAGGATCTTACTCGCAATATAATTTAAAGGGTAAGCAGAAACCTAAGTGGCAGTGGTCTAGGCTTTTGAAATTTTTTTTTAATTTTTTTTAAGAAAATTCTCTAGGGTGGGGTTTACCTTCTGTTTGAGGTGCCTTGGATAGATGCCTGTTACCATCCTGTTTATTGGTCACCCTAATTCCAAGGAGTTGAGCAAGCTTAAGCTGCTGACAGGCTTACCTTCTTCCCCAGTCTGCTGGAACTGGAGGGAATGGGTGATGTGTGTTGCTTTAAGACAGTAGTTAAAAATAAAAATAAATAAATAAAAATGTTCCATGGTTGAATGGGTCATGTTTTCATGAGCAGTGGTCATTGCTCTAAGACTTGGGTCTGCAAATAAAGCTCAAGTTAGTTATCTAAAGTTTGTTGGCCAACAAACTCTAAATGATGATGCCTTCAGATGTCAAAAACCTTTTAGGATGCAAATGTGTTAGCAACCCCATTGCTTATAGGATAGATTATTATTTTTTCTCATTCCTCTTAGCTTGTAAACTCTGCAAGGCTAGAGCTGAACTTACCTAAAGATGTGTGTGGTTATGTTTTGGGTCCTCTATTTGAAGCTTGGAGAGATGTCTTTAAAGAATACCATTTGTCTACCTTTTTCTTCTGAGAGTAGTCTCAGCCTTTTCCTATCATTTCTTTCTTTACTTTTCTTCTTGTCTTAAAGAAATAAACATGATCAGAGCAATAATGTTCCTTTTCTTCCTCATGAGCTCGATAATTTCTTCAAATAACAAAGAATATATTTTTTTTGTTTACTGCTAGCATCTTAGAAGGAATACTTTTGACATTGCTAAACATTTTGCTTTAGCCAAGAACTCAGTGGTGACTAAGCCCACTAAACCATTTATGCGTGCCTTGAGTAACGCCTTAAGACAGTGCGTAGATTTCACACCAAATCCAGTCATAGGACAAATTCAGAGGTCCAGAAATTGGCTTTTGTTTAGATAAGCTTCCAAAAGATCAAGTGTTCTTGCTCAAACCAAATGATTGCTTCATATTTAACTCAGAGGGCACTTTGTGTTTATCTTACTACTGTGTCCAATTCCAAGTTAAACACAATTACTCTGTCTTTCAAGAAATACCTTACATAGCTGGGGTTTGTTCAAATGGAAACTAAACTGTAAGGCAGGGAGTGTAACAGATGTCAAGATGGTTGTTAGGAGACCCAGCATGTAAACCTGGATTCTGTGAAACCCATGACCAAATTTCTTTTGACTCCATTAGGGCCAGCATTTTGCTTGCTCATGCCAGACCCAGTGTCCTTGTGGAGCTCCAGCATGTTTTTACCACACCAATTTAAGCATATTAAATATGATACTCTTTATATTTTGATGCAAATAATGTCTTTCATAGTTCTTATGTGTGTGTCAACCTTTAATCTAACCTAACAGGAGAAATACCAACGGGAACAAGAAAAACTGAGAGAAGAATGGCTACGAGCTAAGCAGGAAGCAGAAAAAGAGAGCTCCAAATACCTAGATGAGGTAGGCTATGAATATGGCTTAACCTATAACAGTACAGTTCCATGGCTTTTTTATTTTTCTCTACTCTTATCACTAATAGTAGGGAAATAGTTTGCTATGTCATCTGTCTTCTCACTCTGGAAAATCAATACTTCTAAAATAAAAATATTGTCTGCGATTTGGCTGGATGCAGAGTCATAGGATGCAAAGATAAGGAAAGAGGAAATGGAATCTTCTGCAACCTGTTTTGCCTGATAGATTGGTTAAGTAACTGATACCAGAAGTAAGTTCACAAAACGTTATTACATATAGGATGTTATTGTAACCAGAATGAGAATGATTTGAACTCAGTGATACTTAACTCCTTGTGTTACCTACTGAATTTCTGCTCTCCTGCTTCAGCATTGCACCTATTCATAAATGCCTTCCTTGTAACTGTTATTCTATTCATCTCTGTGATAAATTTACATACTAAATGAACTTTGGCATGGCAGTGTTTCAAAATATTGAATGCATCTAGTTTCTGTAGCTGTCTACTTTTGTGATTGTTGCCTACAGGAAGATGAAAGTAGGTGTTTTTTTGTTTGTTTTTTTCCTTTATGAGGGAGATGTCTGAGATCTCTGAGATCTCTGTTGCTGTAAGAGATCGAGTGCTGCTTCAAGCGTTCTCGCTGCAGCAGTTAGGTTTATAGAGAGTCATGAACAAGATGACTCAAATATGAACCTTAGGACTTCAGTAAGAAACCACTTCGATCTGTTAGAGGACTTTGCAGCAGAAGAATGCAAGACGTCATCTTTCTAATCATTAAAATCAAACACCGAAACGGTCTTCAATTGACATACAGTATTGTTTCATGTCAATTAAAAGACTTCTGGGCCACTCTCTTGTTTGAGAGAAGTGCCATATACTGATAGGGCTGAGGCATGACATTTAGGTGCTTGAGGGATGCAGGAGAATGGGGTCCTTGTCCACATGAAAATCATATGGGATTCATTAGTCTGGTACATGCTTGGAGTAGTTCCCTTAAGTAGATCTCAGGTTTCTGAGTAAGAAGGGTAAGAAAAAACTTTGGTATGCATTGATTTTTATTATTGTGGGCGTCACAGAAGAGTTTGTTTACAGTGGAGATGTAAGTGGAGAAGAGCTGGCTTGAAAAGTGGTTATTAGATGTTTTAGAAGAATGTTTCACATGCTAGTGGACACATCAGCCCACAGAGCTAAATAAGTCTGCTTGAAATGAATGTATGAAATGAAGCTCTTGAATGTGCCTGTAGACATTCAAAAGATGAAACCGAACTATGCAGTGTGCATTGCACTGAGAATTTTGGTTTGATTTTTATTCTAGTCTCCTGTTACAGGATAAGCAACAAACTGCAGCTTTTCTCCCTCAGCACCATCTTTTCCCCCTTCCTGCTGCAGGAGCAGACTGTCCTGACTGCAGACACGGTGTCTGTCACTGCACGGGCCCCCTCAGCGTCCAGCTGGAGGGGGAGCCCCGGCCCGAACGCTCCTGACGACCCGGCCGCGGGCTCCCTGCTCCAGGAGGAGGACAAGGAGGAGCAGCGGAGGAGGCTCCACGAGGAACAGCGGGCCCAGGAGGAAGCAGCTCTCCGTCTGCAGCAGGAAAGGGAGCTCCAGGAACGGGAGCTGGAAAGGCAGCGTAAAGAGCAGGAGCAGCAACGCGCGGAGGAGCAGAGGCGGCACGAGGAGAGGCAGAGGGAAGCGTCAGCGGAGACTCCTCACTACCAAAGGTTGTCAAAGGGGATGTGCTCTCTTTCTATCTGCACAGAAATTCAAAGACATTCCTAAGCAAGTGCAGAAGTCCCAGATGCACTGGGAATTCCTCCCCCCTAATACTCCTTAGCCCACTTCATTGCAAACTGTTTTACCTTGGGCAAACCTGATTTATTTTGCCCTGCAATTGATTAGGAATAATTGCATGTGCTTCTTTGCAGTTTGCCACTAGAAGCTGTTTGGTGATAGCTTGAACTGCTTCAGCCTCACTACAAATGCTATAAGTGCTGTACTGACATTTTACTGCTCAAATTATCCTGCTGAGACTACTCATCTCTTAAAAAGTATAAGTATTGGGTGTAAGGCAAACCCTTTCCTCAAGTATCAAGTGTTCTTTTAATCCACTTCTGCTGATTTTTCAACAGGAAACTGAGTATAAATGCAGTAATTGCAGCCAAATCAAAGATGACCTGAAGCACTTACTGTGAAAATTTAGAGTTTCTGTATGAGATTGTAGATTGAAAGCCAGTTGTTCAACATTATAGGACTTTAGGAAGAAATAGATAGTTAACTGTTCTCCAGCAATTGCACGTCTGATTTCAAGAGATTTCTCTCCTTTTAGTTTGACAGTGCAACTACACACTTAACTACTGTATTAATTGTCCAAGAAGGGGCATCATGATATCTGAGATAACAGACACTGTCTTAAATATTGCAGCCTGATAGAAGTATCCACTGTGGGTATATTTATTCTAGATGTGAAACAGTTTTCTCCTTCAGCAGCTGATTAATTGCCCCTTTTTTTTTTAGTAATCAGCTAATTTACAAACACATGTTCTTGCCCATAAAAGTCTATCTGAAAGACTAGAGCAATAACTTTTTCTTGTTTCATTGTGCTCTTAGCTACTCACATGCAAGACAGTAATTTTTCTTGATTCTCTTGAGGGCTTCCCTCCTCTCCCTGCCTTGTATAAGCAAAAAGAGATGACTGAAGATAATGCTTCTTATCAAGTTCAATCTTAGGAGAAGAAAATATGATTACAAAATTGCATAGATTGTGAGATTGCTGGATAGACTGTGAGACCTGGAGTTGCTTTGGCTCGTGTTAAAGGACTGCAGCTGCTGAGGTCCCCCCTGAGCAGAGCAAAGGCACAGTTGCTAAGATGGCTAAACAGGTTCTCCTTGGCAGCTGAGCCAGTGTCTCTACAGTCCTAGCTTGCCACAGTGGTAGGATAAGTTACTGCACAAAGTCTTATTATTAAGCTGTCATAATATAATTGCATATCTGAAGCCTTGATATATGCTTCAGTCCTGGCGGGTTTCATTGCTTCCGAGATTTCCACAAAAGGATGCGTGTTGCTAAACGTGAATGGCTTTGCTTAATATGAAGTGAACAGGTCCGGGTAAACTGCACTCTTAGGTATCTGCTGTTAAATGTTTGTTTGTGCTAGCCACAGACCCCATCTGACATGTTCCATAACCATGAGGAGGTATGAAAGTGTGATGCTTTCCCCAGAGAGCTGTGCTCGCTGTCAGCTAGTGGCAGAGCACTGAGGCTGGGGGCAGGCGAGTGGGAAAGAGCTTTGTCTGTCCCATTCCATTAGTATTTCTCGTTCTGAATCATAAGCTATATCCAGAAAGTTTGCTAGAATATACGCTCAGCTTGTAGGGAGCTGCAGTGCTTGGGCAAAGCTTACATCCTGGCTTTGAGACAGATAAGATAAGCACTGTCATTTACTGATACCTGGGATTTTTGCAGTGTTTCCTCAGGGATTTTCTTGTTCCTAACCAATGCACTTGAGCTTTCTTGTTTTTCTCTCTGTATGCCTACTGTTTGTGCAACTTCAATTATTTTTGTTTGTTTAATATATATTTAATTGTGGCTCTGTTTTGCTTATAGACATTATGAGCGCTATGAAGTATCTAAAACAATAGAGGATCGACCTGGCCATCCTCTCATTGACAGGTAATAATAAATTAAATTGCTAGGTAAGTTGAAACATTATCTTCAGTGGTAGATGTTAACCTATTTGGTTATCTAAACCATGCTGAGATTTAGATTCTTTGCTACTTACAAGCAAATAGTTCCAGGCAGATTTGCCAACAAATTTATTTTGGATTTTTTGTTTGTTTCTGACTAATAAGACAAATCCTGCTTAGGAAATTCATCGTTTTTATATGCTGAAGGGTCTGCTCTGAGTATTTTTAATAGAAAATATTTGTATTTCTGTATATCTCTTTCAGTATCTGAAATTAATCCATCTTGTTTGTAGGCATTATGAGCGTTATGAGGTTTCTAAAACCATCGAGGAGCGACCTGATCAGTCATTTGCTGACAGGTATGTAGGATATTGAATTTCAGCATCATCTATAACATCTCTGTGTTTGTGTCAGAAGGCCTTGAAATGTCCAATAACTTAAACTGTGCTGATTAAGTTGATATTATGTATCACTGCTGTGTTTTGCAGTTTTCATGTCACGTTTTCATCTTAAGGAAAACAAGTAACCTAACTTTTGGCAGGTTTTAGGCTGTGTTGTAAGCAACAGTTAGCAGCATTCTAGTGGGAGAAGCAGAACTATAAGGAAGTCAATACGTGGGTGGTGCTACACTTACCTGCCTGGAAAACAATTTCAGTTAAAATTATGGCTGTGTCGTAACGTACTGTACAAACGAAGGTGCAGTTGTCCTGATGGCCATTGTGAAACCTGAGGTGGCAGCAGGGAGGGAAGGGAGAGGGAACAGTAGCACATGGAGCAGAAAGGCAGTGGCTGTGTCACACGTTAAGTTACAGCTCTTTGACTGTTTTGTTTTAGTCTGTGCTGAGTGGTTTGATAGGTTTTGTTTGATTTTCATGTGCAGCATCCTATTATAGTTCCAAAGGATGATCTCTGCTGTATATTTCATCAGTTCTTGTAGTTTGAATCAGCATGCACCTCTGTATTATGAGGAAGTTCAGTGTTTAATAGGGCACAACTTCAAGATCTGTTTAGTTCTGAAGGATCTAAAACTTCAGAAAGTTGCCCCCATTATGCATTTAAGAGGTAACTAGATATATTTGTGAGGAGGAAGTTCAGGTGCTAAAGCCATCCTGGGGTAGGATGCCCTGCTTTCTGTAAGTCCTGTTCACTACAGACAAGTGTGCAACTGCCCCCCCTCAGATGAGTAGGTCAGCACTGTACCTCAGATAACCAGAACTGGGGGGGACCAAGAAATTCAGTGCAACTTGGATATGTATCATTTACCTGTCAATAAAATACAAAACTCCCTTTATTCTGTCTTATGCAGCAAGTGTCCCAGTGCAAAAATGGTGTTGTACAGCCATCCATAGCCTCACCGTTGAGGTCGTGGCCCAGGAAAGGAGATCTGTTTTGTTCTCAACTATTTTAAACTGAGAAACCAGCAAATAAGACTAATAAGATATCAGAAAGCTGTTGCTAAAGCTGCCTTTCATACTGTCAGTAAATTGCCTTTTTACCATATGTTTTCCTGTATATTTGAATGGCCTTTCTTGGCTAATACTAATTTCAAAAAGTACAATTGAAGTATGATTGCATTTTCTTACTAAGTTAGGTTTTTAGATACGTGCTTTCAAAGTTACCATTCTGGCTGTAGTCTTTGCAAAGCTTCCATAAGGAAGGGGCTGTGGTTTTGCCTGTTTCTGTTCAACAAATACAATGCTTGTCCTCCTGTAGCTGAAAATGTGAACTTTTGCAAGTCTTTAATACGTGACTGTGTTGGCCAATATTGATGCCTTTCCTTCCCCGCCCTTGCCTTAATATCCAGTTGTCTTCTGGTCTGTTCATCTCTTGGGTTGATGAGAGGGCTGGTGACAGGAAGGATTGGCTGTCTGTAATTGAGTGGGCAGATTGTTGTTTGTGACTGGTTTTATTAGTTGAGATACAAAGATAAATGTTTTCTGTGTCTTTAGGAATAAGTCCAAGTCAACTTCAGAACTGGATGAAGTCACAACAAACAAGAATGGTAAGTACTGTTTAATTTTCCCTGCTCTTTAAAAGAATCTTTGTTGGAAACTGGTCCAGCACCAGCTGTAGTCATTCTAACTAGGTTAATTGTCAAAGACCTTTTTGATAGTTGCATCATACTTCAAATTCAAAGCATGGCCCAGTTTACTATGTTTTAGCAGGAAGAGAAAATGGATACAGTCAACAGATAAATACAATTAGTTATTCTCTTGAGTGTCTTAGCAGTGATTACAAAGGAAACTTAAATGCTTAACTTTCAGATGACTGAAACTTTACAAGATAAACTGCCCTGTCGGTCTAGCACTCAGATTCTTGTACATGCTCATGCTATGTTTGCTCTGTCAATAAAAAAGCCCTGCATACCAAGACGGAAGGTGTTTGGCACAACTGCCAGCTGTTTTTAACTTGTTAGCATACTAACGCAGCCAGAATTCAGTTCTTGGTACTGTTCTGTCACAGTAGCTTTATTTTTTTTTCAGTTTTTCTCCCCCAAGATCCTGCTGCCTCTCTTGAGTTGCATTCTTCAGTTATATAAATAATTTTCAAAATATATTACACATTAGAGCAGCAAACTTATAAAAGCTATTTCTGTGTCTGAAATGTGATGGAAAGGGTTTTGCATTAGTAGCAGGTGACAATGAATGAGTGGATATGAGCAGAATCTGTAAATAAATGGCTGCAGCAAGATGACTTGAAACAGAAACGGATAAAGGAGACATAAAACTTGAGCTATGAGTTTGAGGGAAATACTGTATTAGAGGAAATATTATAAATTGACAGTAGTGCTTGAAACATGAAAACTTGAAACTAATGAGAGAATAAATGATCATCATATTGTGTAATGGTAATCTATAGCAATAAAACAAAGAAAAACTACAGGACAGAATTTAAGTGACTTGTTTCTGAGTAATTTTCTCAATTCAGTAGTTCAACTGTAAAGTATACTTATAGTGTTTAGAAAAAAACAAAGGTGCTGCCATCTAACAGTTAAACCTAAAGAAAGATAATTTGTTTGTTTCCTCTTTCAAAATTTCAGACAGGAATCAAAAGGTTTTCTCTGCCACAAATGTCACTTCCCTTGGCTATTTAACAGAGCATCCAAATGATAGAGAGAATTCTGCAAGTTTTAAAGATAAATGAATGTGTATCAAGATAAGCCTTTCAAGGATAAGCAAAGTTTCTAGCACTTTGGATTGTGAAAGAGTTTTTGCAAACAGAAATCATGTAGAGAAAAAAAAAATAAAAAAACTGAAAGGCAAAGAAAATATCCCACCATTCAGTTGTGTATTCTACATGTGCTTCAATCCTATTGGAAAGGAAGAATCTAACTTGTGGAGCTAAGTGCCATGCTCTCTTAAAAGCCTTTCAATAAAGCTGAAGGAAAATACCTATTTATAGATTAAACATCATGTAAAGGGCTACACTAATAGCAATACAAATAAATATATATATATATTCTGAAGTGTGCTGGTAATTTGAAATGCAAATCTGAAAAGGGAACTAGAATAACCTGTGAACTGTGGTGAATTATTGCTTCTAGAACTATATCCATGGTCCTGAGTCCTTGCTATCTAGTTATGTGCCTTCAGATGTCTAGCCAAAGTTTCTGCACATTGCTCAAGCAGGTACTCACAGCAAACACTCGGAAAGGTCTTGGAATACCAGCGAGTCACAGAAGGGGTCTCAGAAGGAGCACGTCCTGTCTGCAGCAGAGCTGGAGAGACAGCAAATCCTTCAGGAAATGAGGAAGAGAACATCTCTACATACGGACAGCAGCTGGATTAGGCAGCGCAGTTCCAGTGTACACAAGGAGCCCATTAGTCTGTACAGCAATAGTATGAGGAGGTAGGAAGCATATTAAAAATGAACAGTGTCTCTCATTAAGTGTTTGTGTTCAGTTGTTCAAAGCTTCAGTGCATATATTGCACTTACAGAAACGTATCCAGCCTGTAAAAATGCTGTGAGGTAGCCTGGAGGCAGTACAGAAGGAAGCCTCTGATAGGCGGGATTCAATTTCTGTGAGTAAAGACTGTGGAGATTTGACTCTGCGACTCCTTATCTCTTGGTTGATGTACCACCAGCAATAGAAATCAGTAGTGTACTTTGTCACTGACAAATTCATTTAAGAATTTCAGTATGACTATTTGTTATGGAAATTGATTATTGTAGCTATATAATACTTCTTTTACATAGAAAAGCAAATTTGGAAAGCCTGTCTTGCTTTAACATGTAAATGTTGGGTCTGTCACTTTGAAAACAGGCCGAGTTATCAGTCATGGGAGTGTGTGGCTGTTGCACCAGCACCCTGTTTCTAGATCACGTTGTTATCCAAGGGCGGGTGGATTGTTGTTTCCAAACTGGTATCCCTTGGAGAAAACAAACAAATCCACTCTGAGCTAAATCGATACACAGTAGACTTGAATATAGTTCACCCCAGTAAGAGCACAGTGTGGACTGCTCTGCTGTTGTTCTCTAGTCTTGGAGGGTCCCCTTTCTTTCACTCCACCCTTGTTTTATCCCTGACACCAGCACTGGGCACAAAGGATAGTTTGCAGCTGAAACATTTTACATCAGTGTAATGAAAGTATTGCTCAGGGTCATCCAACAAGAATACTCTTGCTGGAAGATCCTTAAAATGCTAGGATAATGTTTTCCTGTTTAAAATGGGAATATGGCTCTTGGATTAGCTGTCCTGCCCCTCACATTTGCGTATGGAACTATATTACAGGGGCGAGTCCTTGGACAACCTCGATTCTTCAAGAACAAGCTCGTGGAGGCCTCACTCGTGGATGAATCAGTCTGTCTCCTCCTCCTCTCTGTCATCTAGTCAAGACTTGAGTCGCCCGGTGTCCACGTCAAACCGGGCCTACATGCGCACTCCTGCCTCCAGCAAAGCCCCTCTGCCAGCCAGCTCTGCCAGAGCCCCCTCCGTGTCCCAGCCTGCCCCCCGGGCCCAGGCACCCAGCTCTGCTTCCCAGCCCGGCTCGCAGATGCACAGCAGGTCTGTAGTGTCCTTCTGCCACAAGTGTATGAACCGCTGGGGAACAGCAAGCTCTCTAAGACGCTGAGGTTGGCAGCAGTGTTCTCACCGGTAGCCTTAACTAAGAAGTTAAGTCAACTTCTTTCCTGTGAGTGTGACACAGCACTGGAACAGACTGCCCAGAGAGGTTGTGGAGTCTCCATCTCTGGAGATCTTCCAAACCCACCTGGCTGCTACCCTGTACCATGTGCTCTAGGTGTCCCTGCTGGAGCAGGGGGTTGGACTAGGTGATCTCTAGAGGTCCCTTCCAACCTCAACCATTTTGTGATTCTGTGAAAAGTGCCTTGAGTTTTCTGAAAGGGATGTTGGAACTATGAGCTGGCATTACCTCTCTGTTCCTTGCAGTCAGCTTCCCCCGACTTTGTCATTTACTGCTTTAGACTACTCCAATAATAAATCACCAGTCTCTAAGCGGTTTGATGATCGCCAAAATGATTAGTAAAAGCTTTCTCCAGATGGCATGTCAGGCATTTATTTTCTTAGGCTTCTTTTAACAAAAGATTCCTCAAACCCACGGTTTCCTGCCTTCATCTTCATTGCCTCTCCACCTGCCTTCTGGCTTGTGGTCAGTATCTTTCAAGGAACACTCAGGAATGCTCATAACCAATGACCGTGGAGAATTAGAGTAGGATGTCGTCTTTAATACTGGAAGGAGAACAAGAATTGCAACATTTTGAAATAAAAATGGAATTCAGTTGTTGCAGGGTAGATAACTGCTGTCTTACACACTTGATACATTTAAAAAGTACCTTGACATAAGACTGTAGAGTCTCATCCACACAAAATTACATGTATTCTATAGAATAATGCTGTAAAAACTCCTCTTGCATTCTCAGTCACTTGATAAATTCACTAATTTCCTTAAAGCTAGGCTCCTGCACTCTTTATACTATAAGGAAATGACTCTTTTAAACATGTTTGCTCATCTTGTTCTCATTTCCACTTTCTGGTTTGCTAGCATCCCTGTGGATCTGTGGAAAGTGACCTCAGTGTGGCATACTTTCATGGAGCTACCGTAGTACTGCGTGTCCAGGATTGGCCTTCTGCTATCTAATAAGGTGCAGATGGTGGCACTTGGCAGGGAGGTTGCCGTAATACAGCCTTTAATGATTTCCTAGGAATAAGAAGTGAGGCAGGAGCAGAGAAAAAATGTGCGTCTGTACACTCCAATCTTAACAATATCCTTTTTTTTAGGTTTATTTGTGCAATGCATGCTATGCAACAGAACATCTCCTGGGAATCTGACACAATTTTTATTTGTTCCTATGTAACTTTCATTTAAATTAACTTTAGCTTTCTCTAGCTCTCATCTCTACAGAATACTCATTTCCAGCCCATTTTCCCTAAGCAGCCTAACCAACAGTCCACTCATTACCAGTATTCTGTTTTTTTACCAGTATCCTCTGTTTTTAATCTCAAAAAGCCTTCGATAACTTATCTTTGCCTTTTAAACCTCCTCGAGCTGACTTTTAAGGATTTTCGTTCTGTATTTAGGTCAGTCAGTGGGAAGAAAATCTGCTCATACTGTAATAACGTTCTGGGCAAAGGAGCAGCCATGATCATTGAGTCTCTGGGTCTTTGTTACCATTTGCATTGCTTCAAGGTGAGCGCCCGGCGTCCCGCCGCAGAGGAGCGGCTGGCAGGAGCACGCGTGGCTGTCGGGGGCACGCTCACAGGGGCTCTACTAACCTCCTGCTTTGCCTTCTGCTCGGCCAGCGCGCTGCAGGCACCTTTCCATGGGGCAGGCCCCTCTGCAGGCGTTCAGCACTCCCCTCCGGGGCTGTGCTTCAAGTGGCAGAGTGAGCGAGGTGACTGGCGTGACGCGGTGGTTCCTCCTTTGGGCAGACGGCAAAAAATCAGAAGGTGTTGAGCCACCTCTCCTAGAGAAACCACGTTCTTTCAGAAGATCTCAAGTTTGAGAGATCTGAATATTCTGAATAGCCTGGAGTGACTGATCGCTTCTAGCTGAAGATATGGAGCTCTGTTTTGCCCCACACTGCAGAGCTGATGGTAGCAGCCAATGCCACTTTGGGGCATGCATAATTCTTTTAGCAATATGTTCTTCTAAAAACATGTAGAAGCTAGTTTCCTTATTTAAGGACCAGATGAGGAATTAGCCTCTGAATTGGTGATCTCCTTGGAGCCTGCTTCCTCCAGCAGGTTTAGGAGGACCTCTTCTGTGTCTGCATGAGAACATTCTCCCTCTGTGCCCAGCTCAAATGCATCAGCCAGAAACTCACAAGGGATTAGAAGCCTTTTACTGTTCCTGCCCACCTGAGGAGGAAGCATTTCAGTCACCTGGAGAAGTTGTTCTTCACTCCCTTTCCACAGACCTTACATTTTCTGCAAGAAGATCAATCAGTAGATTTTTGACCAAGCCAAGAAAATTACAAATTTGTCTTCTCTAAATTTCTTAAGATTAATGAAGCTTTGAACAAACTGCCACCCAAAAGATTAATTTCCCATTTAAGCAGGCTATATCTCCTTCTGGAGACACCCAACAGTTAGTGTGAAAGTTATCCAGCTGTTCATGTGTTTATCCAGGGGAAAAAAAATGTAACTGCCACGCTCTCTCCAGAGAAGAGCATGTTAAAATGATGCAAAACCCAGGAAAATGGGATTACACGAGTGTTTGCTGGGGAGCCCCGAGCCGCATGGAAGCTGCCGCAGCGCGCCCAGGTGCTCTGTGCCAAACCCACCGCTGCCGCCTCAACAACACGTGTTCTCATGCTGAGCCAGCCCCAGTTTTCAGAGAAACTGAGGTTCACATTAGATATAACAAACTAATCTCTGAACAGCTTCTGCTTTGTATTTGTTTAGTTTGTGTGTACATGTCTCTGCTATTTGTTGTCCAGTCATCGCCCTAAAATTTCTCAAGGCTGGTTGCGTTTTGATCTACTAATTGTCACACGTTTGCTTTTAGTGGTTGTGGGTCTATGGCTCAAGCTTTCTGCATTTTACTCCGAGCTGCTTTTGAGTACTGTTTTCTCTTTAGCATTTCGTAAGGATTTGCTAACCTTTGGTGTATCGTGCAGTGCGTCGCCTGCGGGTGCGACCTCGGGGGATCCCGCTCCGGAGCTGAAGTCAGAATCCGAAACAACGAGCTCTACTGCAATGATTGCTATCTCCGATTCAAAGGTAAGGTGCTCGCTCTGCAGTCTGCACCACTGTAGGTTGTCTTTGTGGTCAAGTGTTTCGTGCTGAAGTACAAAAAAAGTAAGGAATTCAAGTGTTTGTACAGCTGAGCCAGCCAATAGGTTTCCTATTTAAGTTGGGGTATTAGTGAATAGCTTCAATAGGGTTTGATTGGCAGTTCCCCTTCCTCAAAGGTGGTGACTCCTCACTTTTAACCTGCTGGTAGCTGGCTTTACTGCCTTGTTACGAAGCAGTTTCAAACAGCCGAAGCAGTACAGTCATCCTGCATTCTTGATGGATCTAAGAAAGTGGTGTGTGTCTAGGAGTCGTCAGCGGCTGAACAGGCTCATCTTGATAAGAGAACTCATTTTGAAAAATGATCTGAATTTATAAAAAACTAATCTGAGTATGTATTTAATTCAATCCTAACTCACGCTAGGAAAGCTGTTAGTATATCCTGTGCAGGTGGCAGAAATGCTGTTTTCTCTCCTCGATACTGTTTTTTGAATTATAGCTTTGTGATTGGATGTTCATTTAAGTCAGCAGGAAGGAAATTGATTTCTTACAGATCTTAATTGAAAGATGCAATATAATTTATTTTCCTTTATTACAGTTTGCAGAATTCTGACTTACTGGAGCATGATGTTAAGGCTTTGAGTAATAGGGTGGTCTTTTTTTCTCTCTCTCTTTTTTCTTTTTTCTTTTTTCTTTTCTCTCTGGTGCTGTAGGAGATGCTAGGCAATTTCCTAAGTTTTAGAAGTGGCTTCATGGAATTTATGTAGCTCTATTTTTAATGTAGCAAATGCAGAATTCTTCAGAATTATAACTTCAGAGAAGGGGTTTCCAAATGATGTGCAGAAATGTGGACAGTTTTCCTAGCTAGAGTCCAGCCCATTTTGCTGGTCCAGGAGGTAGCCAAGGGAGTGGGCTACTTGGACTGAGATGAGGAGCAGACCTTGAGCCTCTGCTGACTGAGGAGCCCAGCTCAACATGGATAATTAGTTGGCCCATATACTGCTTACGGGGGTATAGTTGTGTTAAATCCACATTTTTATTCTTCATGCGTTAAATATCTATTGAAAATGCTAGCAGCAAAAATGTAAAGTTAGCATAGTCTGTTAATTCTTAAATTGAAAATTGACTTTTTTCCCCTAAGCTGCTTCAATGGCTAGAATTTAATTAGTTTCCCCTGTCTCTCTCTTAACAGCTGGACATCCAACCTCCATGTGAAACAAATGTAGATATGAAACCACTGTTGCAGATAGAAGAAGTGATTGCTGCTGATGTAGATCTATAAATATATATATTGTGTGTATGTGTGTGTTTTTCATGAGTAACTCTTGCTTGTCTAGTCTTCATAGCAATGCATTGTATCCTCCATATAACTGTATTTTTATTTATGAGAAAGTAATTGTACTACAGAAGCGTCTGGGAAAAATGCTTTCACTTTTCAGCTTCAAGTACTGAAAGAACAAGGGAGAAAACATATTTTCAGTAATAACTTCAGAATATTTTTGAGGCTTATAATCAACTAGCTAACTTTCCAATGGTATATAAAGAGGGTATTTTGTTCCTGAGCTCTTGAAATGAGCATTAGAGAAATAGTTAATATAAATATATATTTGCAATTGCTGTCTCTATTTTTGACATATACTGAAAGCAAATTCTCTAGGTTAATATGAAGTTGCACTTAAATGCACACAATGTGTTTGCTTTTCATATGGTGGTTTCTAAAACTAAGTGCTTTTTGAAACTTAAATACAAAGTATAATCTGTTTGCTCAGTGGTGATGGCGTAATATTTTGTGGAATCCAGCAAAGGGGAAGAGTTCTCCCTTTTGCTTCCCATGTGAAAAATGTAACTGTCACTTTTTCCTCCATCCACCGAATGGAGGACAGTTGTTCAATTACAGTATATTTGTAAATAAATTTTCTGATAATGCATTTATTAGAAGTTTCTTTTCTTCCTATCCAGCAAAATATGTCCATAAGGTGATTTGTTGAAAAAAAAATAAAATCTGTTTGAATTTTGCTTTGGTAAAACATTTTTAAAAAAGGATTATAACATCACCTTAACTATGCTTAAGAGCTCTTGCTCGTGTGTGTGTGTGGTTCTGCTCATGTTAGACTTCAGTTTTTGTAGATGATGCCAGGCTACTCCTGTCCTCCCCTTCAGCATTTACTGCAGCTGTGAGGTTGTTTGAACTGCAGGTGCAGCCCTGCAGGGCCAGGGTCAGGAGGGGTGGCAGCCCCCTGGGTTTCTCCTGTGTGGTGAGAAATGGAGCCCTGAGGCGATGCGGGGACTGGGCCCTGAGGAGATGCTGAGGCCCCACAGCTGTGTGCACTCGGCTCCCAGCTGCGCCTCCCACACTGTGCCCCTCGAGGGGGCCTTCCCACATCCTTCCATGCGTCCTTCACATCCTGTCCTTGCAAGTCACAAGGACAGCATAGGGTGGCCCAGAGTCACAGAATGGTTGAGGTTAGAAGCGACCACTTATGATGGAATGACCAGCGGGGTAGATGAGGGGAGAGGGGCAGATGTCATCTATCTTGACTTTGCCAAGGCTTTTGACACTGTCCTTCACAACATCCTCCTGGATGGATGACATATGACCTGGTCGCTAGAGGTCATAGATTCATAGAATGCTTAAGGTTGGAAGGGACCTCCAGAGGTCATCTATTCCAACCCCCCTGCACACGCAGGGTCACCTAGAGCACGTGGCACGGGACTGCGTCCAAGCAGCTTTTGAAGATCTCCAGAGAGGGAGACTCCATAACCTTTCTTGGCGACTTGTTCCAGTGCTCTGTCACCCTCACAGGAAAGAAGTTCTTCACAGGGAGGTGGAACTTCCTGTGTTTACACCCATTACTCCTTGTCTTGTCACTGGCCACCACCAGGAAGAGTTTGGCCCCAAGTGGTGTTTGGTGTGGGTGAGAAGAATTGGAGGAGGAAAGGGGCACTGCTGGGATGGGGTAGGAGGGCAGAGGGGCTTGTGAGTTTTGGCTCGTGTGTGGCACCCCAAGGCCAGGCTCAGCACTGCTGCCTTGCCAGGAGCAAGGGTGCCATGGTGGAGCAGGGGAACCTCCCCTCTGTGCATGCTCTCATCCTATGAACTTTGCTAAATTATCTGTTTAATCTACATCTTTAGAAATATATAGCATAATATATAGCACAGGTAATAGAGTGCAATGCTAGGAAGTTGCTTTGCCCTTTAACCTCTATGGGTCTCTTGCTTGGCTTGGTGTTCTTGAGCCTTTCCTCTGGACAGATGCTGTATGCTCTTTGCCAAAGAATTCTCTGTAAATAAAGACTGGATAAGAGTTATATTTAAATGTTATTTATTTTTAAATGTTGTTTATTTTTAAATGATAACTTCTTACATGTTGTTTAAAAATGCATTTATATGTATAGGAATGCCTGACCCCACCACAGCTGCCAAGCTCCTTGTTTAGTTGCATTTGTGGAATGATTGGCTTGGCCCTTGACACATTCAGTTAAGTGTCCCCTGTGAAAAAGGCTTGCAGAGGTTTCGGGGTTTGTTTCTGTTCACCAGTGTAACACAAGCTAGTAAGTAACACTGTAGGTTACACGTGTGGGCTGCAGGCTGTGAAGACTAGCCTGAAAATAGGCGAAGTGCAGAAGGCTCCTCCTCTGCTCATACAGCTCAGCTCTTTTTTTTTTTCAGACTTTTTTAATGGTACGCGGTGTAGGCTATGCACATAGTGGGGTTTTTTTGACTGGTTGGTTAGTTGGTTACTTTTTGTTGGTTGGGTTTTTTTAGTCACAGCTTGAAACTCTATCAGAGAATTTAGCAAAGCTCGGCTCCTGCCTCTACTGTGGAGCCAGGGCTCCCGTTCCCCAACTGGTTTTCTGCATCCTGGTGTGACTCTGAGCCAGACGGTCTTTTCCAGACTATCATCAAACATTTTGAAATGTTTGGAATGTTCTAAATTAGAAACAAATAGCAACTGTGGGCAAAATAAAGCCCCTTTCTCACCTC